GCTCGTGATGTTCTGCAGAATCGTACCTGCTATGATTCCCATCAAGATTTGTTTCACTTCACCTCCAGACCTTCAGAGTGCAGTTATATGTAGAGAAACAAGTCTGGGGACGCTTAGACTAACCTCTGCTGTAACTCCAACTGCCGAGAGAATGACACTCGTCAAGCTGCAGTTAGCCCTGTCGGCAGGCACTGTGTCAGCCTCGTGTCAAGCTTCAGTGAGCAGCCTGCACGAAGATGTCACTTTGACTGCTAGCTCACTCACTGCAGTCTGGTGTATGATGTTACGACTCCCAGATGTTTCGCCCAGTCATCTCTGCCACAACTCACTCCACGACTCACTCCACGCTCGCTGGCAGTGACAGCCCAGCGACAGTACCAGTCGAGAAGTGTCCTCCTGAGTCGCTTGCCAGAAGTCCTGCCCAGTTGCCGAGTTTTGTCGACGCTTCACTCGAAGGCACCAGCATGTCGTGCCCCAGGTTGAGTGAAAACATGCAGTGACTCCTATGATGACTGCTTCACCGTTCCAGAGGAGACCGTACCCTGTTACGTCACTGCTCAGCCGCAGCGATATCTCCTGTGTTGCAGTATCTGTCCAGACTCAGGAAGGCGTGCAGTGATGCCCATCGATGCTCACTGCCTATGACCATGGTGTTCAGCACACCCCACATGTTTTTTTCTTCCCTCCCTGTAGGAAGTTTTTTTTTTTCCATGTCCATATGTATATATATGTTTTTATTTTGTGTTCTCTGCCCTGTTCCTACGAGAGAGAGACCGAGTTTTTTTTACCACTAGACATGGTCGGGACGACCATATGGTAGGTGGCCGAGTGTATGTAGACGCCTTACTGTCTGCCAGACGCTAGCTGTCTGCCAGCTCGTTCATTTTTGCGCCCAAGTGCTGCCCTGGGGGCCCTGCCCAAAGTCTGTGGGATGCTGGAACCCACACCCCTTCATAACAGGGCCCCTGGCGAAAGACAGGGGGCCTTATACCCCCCCGTGGGATGGCCCCCCGGGCCGGGGCAACAACCACAACCCGTGTCCCCCACCACGCTTAAAATAAACAAACCCTCCGAAGCGTTTATAATTCCACCCCCCTTTATTCACCAAAAAATTTTCGATACATGTAACAGAAACCTTCCCTCGGGGAAAAGACTGAAAAAACCCTAAAATCTCCTTTCAGAAAGGCAAAAATTTGGGGGGAAAGTTGGTGTATAAAATGGAAGACAGGAAAATAAAGAGGATGAAAATTTAGCGTGCTAAAAATATCTCCAAAAAAAAACCCGCGGAAATGGTTTTTTTTGGAAAATTCAGATTCGGGAAGGATTGGGAAAACAGGTTTTGGTAATGTTGGGATGAGGGGAAAACAAACCCCCGATACAGTTTTAGAGCTAAACTTGTGTATTTTTTAAAAATGGTTAGATAAATAATGGTGGGTGAGGGGGGGGAGTGAGTTGGACCGAAGCTTGTGCTATAGGTCTTTGCCGTTTTCCCTTCCTTAAGTAACGTGCCCTCCCCCGACTAGGTTGGGTGTTTGGGCCCCTTAGCCAGTAGAAGTTTGGGGCCCTCCCTCGATGGGCAGGGCCTGCTGCAGTTTTCCTTTTTTTCAAATGTTCTTAGTTTCTAAAAGGGTATTGACGTTTAGGGATGTTGACAAATCTTGGGGATTGAAAACTTTCAGTGCCGACAAACATATGGTGACTGACAAATTTAAAGGATCTGATTGACAAACTTATGGTGTGGCAAACTTAGGATATGACAAACTTAGGGAAACTGGTAAACTAATGGATTTGTTTGGGGGTTAAATTTGGTGCTGAAAAAATTAGGGTGACGGGAAAACAAATGGAGACTGTTGCAAACTTATGGATGCGAGGGACAAACTTTGGATGATGAAAAATTAGGTGACTGCCCAAACATATGGAATGTTTGACAACTTACAGATGACGACAAACTTATGATGACTGACATACTTAAGATGATGATTGACAACTTATGTGTTCTGCTGACCTTATGGATGACTGATTGACAACTTTTGATGATGATTGACACTATATGGATGACGGATTGACAAACTTATTGGATGATGATTAGACACCTATGGAACTGATTGACAAACTTATGATGACTGATTGAAACTTAGGTACTGAGCCGATTGCAAACTTTTGCATAAATGCTTGACAACTTAGGATACTGACAACTTATGGATGACTGACAACACTTATGGAGCTGACAAACTTATGGATGACCTGATGACAAACTTATGGTCACTGACAACTTATGGATGACTGTTGATAAACTTATGGATGGACTGACAAAACTTATGGATGCTGTTGTAAATTTGAATAACTGACAAACTTATGGAAGACCTGACAACTTATGGTAGACTGACAACCCTTATGGATGTCTGACAAACTTATGGAGATTCTGAAAACATGATACGACAAACTTGGATGCCGACAAACTAGGATGACGACAAACTATGATGACCGACAACTTATGTGACCGACAAACTTATGGCAGACCGAAAATTATGGGTGACCGACAAACTTATGAGATGATAAACATATGGATGACGACAAACTATGGATGACGACATAACTATGAGGATCCGAAATTAGCGATGGCTGAAAACATACTGGATAGACAAGACCCCGGAATTTGTTACAAATTATGGAGATGACAAATTATGGATACGAGCAATAGGATGAACGACAAACAGTATGGAGACTGACATACTTATGGATGATGACAAACATGGAGCTGACAACTTATGGATGACTGACAAACTTATGTGAAGATGAACAAACTAGGATAGATGACAAACATGATGGAGTGACTGGACAAATATGGATGATGACAAATTAGGAGACCGACAACTATGGATTACCGACAACTATGGATGCTGAACAAACTTTGGATGCCTCAACACTTAGGGATGACCGACAACTTATGGATGACTGCAACTTATGGTATGACAAACTATGGACTGACTGACATACTTATGGTTACCTGCATACTTATGGATGACGAACTTATGGTGACTGACAAACTTATGGATGACAGACAAATTAGGATGCCGACAACTTATGGATGAGACAAACTTAGGATGACTGACAAACTTATGGATGACTGAACAAACTTATGGATGACTGACAAACTTATGGATGACTGACAAACTTATGGATGACTGAAAACTAATGGATGACTGTTGATAAACTTTGGATGACTGACAAACTTTATGGATGACTGTTGATAAATTTATGGATGACTGAGCAAACTTGTGGATGACTGACAAACTTATGGATGACCGACAAACTATGGATATGACGACAAACTTAGGATGACCGACAAAACATATGGATGACTGACAAACTTAAGGATGTGATGACAAACTTATGGATGACTGACAACTTATGATTGACCGACAACTTATGGATGACTGAACAAACTTATGGATGACTGACAAACTTATGGGATGACCGACACTTAGGGACGACAACTTATGGGATACCGAAACTTAGGATTGACCGACAAACTTATGTGACTGACAAACTTATGTGACTGACAACTTTATGGATGACTGACAAACTTATGGATGACTGACAAACTTATGGATGACTGACAAACTTATGGATGACTGACAAACTTATGGATGACCGACAAACTTATGGATGACCGACAAACTTATGGATGACCGACAAACTTATGGATGACTGACAAACTTATGGATGACTGACAAACTTATGGATGACTGACAAACTTATGGATGACTGACAAACTTATGGATGACCGACAAACTTATGGATGACTGACAAACTTATGGATGACTGGTTGATAAACTTATGGATGACTGACAAACTTATGGATGACTGGTTGATAAATTTATGGATGACTGACAAACTTATGGATGACTGACAAACTTATGGATGACCGACAAACTTATGGATGACCGACAAACTTATGGATGACCGACAAACTTATGGATGACTGACAAACTTATGGATGACCGACAAACTTATGGATGACCGACAAACTTATGGATGACCGACAAACTTATGGATGACGACAAACTTTATGGATGACCGACAAATTTGGATGACGACAAATTATGGATGACCGACAAACTTATGGATGACCGACAAACTTATGGATGACCGACAAACTTATGGATGACCGACAAACTTATGGATGACTGACAAACTTATGGATGACTGACAAACTTATGGATGACTGACAAACTTATGGATGACCGACAAACTTATGGATGACGACAAATTATGGATGACTGACAAACTATGGATGACTGACAAACTTATGGATGACTGACAAACTTATGGATGACGACAAACTTGATGACTGACAACATTGACTGACAAACTTATGGATGACCGACAAACTTATGGATGACTGACAAACTTATGGATGACTGGTTGATAAACTTATGGATGACTGACAAACTTATGGATGACTGGTTGATAAATTTATGGATGACTGACAAACTTATGGATGACTGACAAACTTATGGATGACTGACAAACTTATGGATGACTGACAAACTTATGGATGACCGACAAACTTATGGATGACCGACAAACTTTTTGGATGACGACCAAACTTATGGATGACGACAAACTTATGGATGACTGAACAAACTTATGGATGACCGACAAACTTATGGATGACCGACAAACTTATGGATGACTGACAAACTTATGGATGACCGACAAACTTATGGATGACCGACAAACTTATGGATGACTGACAAACTTATGGATGACTGACAAACTTATGGATGACTGACAAACTTATGGATGACTGACAAACTTATGGATGACCGACAAACTTATGGATGACTGACAAACTTATGGATGACTGACAAACTTATGGATGACTGACAAACTTATGGATGACTGACAAATTTATGGATGACTGACAAACTTATGGATGACTGACAAACTTATGGATGACTGACAAACTTATGGATGACTGACAACTAACTTACAGTGTGGAGAGGAACTTGTAGACGAGGTTGCTGCAGCTCCTGGACCACTGTCAAAAGTGGTTGTTATTTATCAATTGTTGCAGTCACAATATTATGACTTATTCTTCACACAGTGTTTGTACATTAATTCCTGAAGTATATATATATAATATATATATATATAAAATTATATATTATATAATATAATATATATAATATATATATATAATAAAATTTTATATTATATTGTGGAAGTCACTGGTAATTAACTATATAGATTTAATTTAGGATAAACACAACGTCAAACAATTTGGCTTATTTCCAAAAGTTTTCGAAAATCATCTATGGCTTGATAGAGAACATTATATATATAATACCCGAGTGAAGGGTAAGCCAGTGGCTTGGCTTATCGATAGGTGAACCCGTTACTTTTCTTTTCTGTGTAAGTTTAGCCTTATTTTTTGCTCACTGAGTCAACCCAGTGACACTTTCATGATCGCACTTGTCAAGTTGCATCCAGAGAAACACTGATAACTTTCCACTGTGTGTGGTGGTAGTAGGCAGGATGTCAGCGTGAGATGGAGGCCATACACACACTACACTCTCACTCACCTAGGTGCTCTCCAGTACTTCACGGTCAACACTCGTAAGGTTTAAATCCCTACCACTACTACCACTGGGGGTTTAAAAATGGCGGAGTGCGGTCGCTTCCCACAGGTTGCGTCGACTGGATTGTCTGCGTCACCAAGAATTTTCTCTTTTTCCATATGACTTCGTCTTTCTCACAATGCAATGTTCGCTGAAACTAATATTTATCTTCCTTAGAGAATTAACTGATAAAAATTATACCTGAACGAGGATATTAAAAAGTAACATGAAACGAATCTAATGAATAATGGATGTGTTAAGTGTTGACAATATTTACACGAGTCGGGACACAGTGACAGTGACAAGTCTGGAAGGAGGAAGAGATGGGAGCAGCCATAACCAACGAAGGTGGTAGGAAATAGGCAATCTGCTAGTGGATGGGTCATTGTCAACTACTTCCTGACCGTGTTCCATTCATAGTTGGCTGCTTCCGCAAGATGGACCAGTTAACAATATCTTATTGGTAGTTTAGTTGTCAAGTAGCGTGCATGGTGGCCAGACACGTCAGTGTCATGGTGGCCAGACACGTCAGGGTCATGGTGGCCAGACACGTCAGTGTCATGGTAAGACTTACATAGCCCATATAAGCATAGACAGTTGGAGGTAGCAGGCTCAGTGTCTACCTCACATAGTACTAACTTATGCTTGTTATGTTGATACTATGATTATTATGTTGTGATGTTCAAATATCACATAAAAATATCTCTATTTAATGCCTTGAGTCTCTAAAGCTCACTTGGCGTAGTAAAGGGAGGTGAAATGAACCATATGGTGAGTGGGAGCTGAAGCAGCCTTGACGCAAGGCAGGTGAGTCATGAAGACTGGTTGTCGACACTCTAAACATTATTAAATTTAGCACGTTCTTGTACACAAGAAACACCACGATAATTTGTCTAGGTCAAGAGTGATACTTACTTTACTGTCCTTTACTACATAGACTTGCAAAAACTTGTGAGCAGAAGCAAACATAAATAAAGTAAGTATATGTGAAGCAGGCAGTAGTGATCTTCCCTCCCCGGTCTAGCTTCCTTTCAGTGAGTCACTCTGCTGCTGCTGCTGCTGCTGCTGCTGCGACCTCCATGGCTGCCTTGGGGTAAATTTAAAGGGATCCCGTAGCTCATTGGTATGAAAGTTTGGAGCATAACTGTAAAGTCTCGGGTTCGATTTCCGGGCACCGTCGAACTTACGTTCAAGTTTTCTTGTAGTTTTACTGCTCTTGTAATCGCCCTACTGTAGTTGTATGGGTTGATTCTCAGCTCCTGTCAAGCCTCTCTGCTGGCCGCTGGCTGTTTTACTCTGTCCTGGCTGCATGAGTCCTACCATACTTATACATAAATTTTCGAGCACTTTAAGGCTAAAGAAGTATTTCCTAATATCCCTGTGACTTATCTATACCTTTAACATCCGGCTGTGCCCTCGTGTACCTGAGCCCCGCCTCTCAAACGAACTTTTCCTGTCCACCCTGTTAATTCCTCTCAGTATTTTGTACGTCGTATTAATGTCACCCCTGGTTCTTCTGTCCTCTAGCGCCGTCAGGTTTAGCTCTTCTAGCCTCTCCTTCCCTCTCGGCTCTGGGGCTACATTCGTTGCAAACCTTTGCCCTTTTTCTAGCTTCTTTGCATGCTTAACCAAATGTGGGTTCCATACTGGCGCTGCATACTCCAAGACATGCCGTATAAACCCTCTTGTTGATGCTCCTGAAAGTAAACCTTAAATTTGCCAATCTCACGTTTGTTGCAGAGGTTACTCTGTTGATGTGTTCCTCAGGCGACATGTTCGGAACTGTGTTTACCCCGTGATCCTTCTCTTTCAGGAAGGTTTGCAGCAAGTGTCCCCGGAGTTGCACACTGTTTCTGGACGTCTTTGTCCTCCGGTTTTCATAACTTTGTATTTGCTGGGGTTGAATACCAGTAGCCACCTGTCGGGGCAGTCTTGCATCCAGATCAATTTGCAGTCCTTCCTGGTCTACTCCCGTTCGTGTTTTTATTAGTTTCACATTATCTGGCATAACTTGTCAAGATCAAGAGTTATATTTACTTTACTACCCTTGAGGGTAGCAGCAACAAATTCAATTCAAATTCAAATTCAAAGTTTATTCTCTATAAAGATTACAATGTTGAATTTACAGAATTTGGTTGTTGTGTGGTTTACATGTAGTTAAATAATGATTACAGAGTGTACCACTAGAACGCCTAGCATGGCTAGGCATTTCGGGCAGACTTAGTTTAATTCTTTATTTTAAAATATTACAAATTATGAGGTAAGTTGGTATTATGGCTAAGTTACTAAATACTAGTTTGTGAGTTTAGCAATGTGAATGCTTTTGTTTTGGCACAGTACATAGTTTCAGTATTGGAGTATCATAGGATTCATTATTTTAAGACTGAGATTAATATTCTGTTTATAGGTCAAATGGGTGAGTGAGTGTAAGTGTGAGCCACCAGGTGGTATTCGTGTAGTTAGTTTGATGGGGTGTATCAGGGAGATAAGATGTTTTCTAATGGTAGTTTTGAAGGTGAGGAATGTGTCTGCAGTTCTAGAGTTCTCAGGTAGGGTGTTCCAGATTTTAGGGCCTTTGAAATACACTGAATTTTTGTAAAGGTTTAGTCGGACACGGGGAATGTCGTAGAGATGTTTGTGTCTGGTGTTATGCCTGTGGGTTCTGTCACAACTATCAAGAAAGCGTTTTAGGTCAAGGTTGATATTGGAGTTTAAGGTCCTGTAGATGTAGATTGCACAGTAGTAAGTGTGGATGTACTGAACAAGGAGTAAGTTTAGATCTATGAAGAGTGGGGGGGGGTGTTGCCAGGGATGGGATTTAGTGATTATTCCTACTGCAGCTTTTTGTTGGGTTATTATTGGCTTTAGGTGTGTTGCTGCAGTTGATCCCCAAGCACAAATAGCATAGGTGAGGTATGGTTAAATAAGTGAGTGGTATAGTGTGAGAAGGGCATTTTGCAGCACGTAGTATCGTATCTTGGAGAGGATCCCAACCGTTTTGGATACTTTTTTGGTTATGTGTTGGATATGGGTGCTGAAATTCAGGTTGTTGTCAAGGTATAGGCCTAGGAATTTGCCCTCATTATGTCTGGTAATTAGAGTGTTGTCGATCTTAATGTTAATTTGTGCATCTCCTGCTCTGCTACCAAACATAATATAGTAGGTTTTGTCAGTGTTAAGCGTAAGTTTATTGGCTGTCATCCAAGTCGATATTTTGATCAGCTCCTCGTTAACAATGGTGTTGAGGGTGGCAAGATTAGGGTGAGAGATGACATAAGTCATATCGTCAGCAAAGAGAATGGGTTTCAGGTGTTGGGATACGTTTGGAAGATCATTGATGTATATGAGGAAGAGCAGGGGACCAAGGACACTTCCCTGCGGAACTCCAGTATCAAGTGGCCGTGTTGTTGATGCTGTGTCTTTAATGGTGACATACTGATACCTATTAGTTAGGTAAGATTTGAAATAAGCAAGCGCATGGCCTCTAACGGTAATGGTCAAGTTTGTGGAGTAGGATGTCGTGGTCTACTGTGTCAAAAGCTTTTCTTAGGTCAATAAAAATTCCTAGTGGATATTCCTTATTTTCCAATGCTGTGTAAAGCAGATCTAGCATTTTTATGATTGCATCATTAGTGCTTTTATTTTTCCTGAATCCAAATTGGCAGGGGTTGAGTATGTTTTGTGGTGTTATAAAGGAATATAATCTCCTGTGCACGAGTTTCTCAAAGATTTTGAATAGCAATAGTAAGTTTGATATTGGCCTATAGTTGTTTAAGTCTGTAGGGTCACCACATTTATGTATTGGAGTAACCCTTGCCATCTTGAGTAGTTTCGGGAAGGTGCTAGTTTCTAGTGACTTGTTAAAAAGTAATGAAATAGCATGCGAAAGGATATGGGCCGCTCGCTTGTACAGTAATGGTGGGACATTAGACAGATTCCCTGAGTTGTTTTTTAAGTGACTTTATAATCTCGATGACTTCCGAGGGCTCAGTTGGTGCAAGATAGAAGGAATTTGGGAAATTCCCATCTAGGTAGTCCCCAGCATGGGCATTGGTATGTGGGATTTTATTGGCGAGATTAGATCCTATGGTTGAGAAGAAGTCGTTTATCTTGTTAGCTGTGTCAGTGGGATGTAGTGGTGTTTCATTAGGTTTAGTTAGGACAATATTCTTGTTTTTTTTCAGTTTGTGGGTCCCTAGAATCTGAGAGAGTGTTTTCCAGGTCTTTTTTATATCTCCTCTAGTGTCTGTGAATCTACTGGAGTAGTATAGTTGTTTGGCTTTCTTTATTACTTTGGTGAGAACTGATGAATAGTGTTTAAGAATATCTTTGTGTATTAAGCCCTGTCTATATTGCTTTTCGTATTTGGGGTTTCTTGTCAATGGATTTCAGAATGGTGCTGGTTAGCCATGGGCAACCAAGCCGTTTGTTTGTGATCTGTTTCGTTTTTATAGGACAATGTTTGTTGTATAGTCTAAGTAATTTGTTAAGAAAAATGTCTGTCCAGTCATCAATACCATTGGCCTTGGAGAATTCTGTAGGCCAGTCAACAATCTCTAGGTCAGCTGTTAACTTCCTTATTGAGGTCTCGTCATGGAGTCTAAATAAGACTTTGTTGTATTCAAGTGGTGGTTTACTAATGTTTGTCAGGAGGAAGGTAGGGTAGTGGTCTGTAGTGCTATCTGTGTTTACCCCTGAATTAAGGGGCGGTTTAGTAATTTTGGCCCCTATTGGTCTTTCAGGGGTTTCCCTTTGTCTCAGGGGACCCCTGGTTGGTTTAGTTTTTTTTTTTTGGGTTTGAGAATGTGTTTTTCATATTGTTGATAAAATTCTTTTACAGGCTGATCATCTAGTAACCCAAAGGGTTGATTTTAAAGTCCCCAGCTAAGAAAAGGGTGGGGTTTTATTCATTTGTCTGTTTTTTAAATTATGACTTTAATTTCTCCCCTGAAATTTGGGATGTTTGTTTTGGGGGTTACCCGGGAAAAATGGCACCGTTTGGGTTATAGGGGGTTTTAAAAGGTTTTTTACAGAAAAAATTAAGCAAAAATGA